CGTGATTCGAATCACATCTCGTGATTCGGATTCGTGATTCGAATCCATTTTTCGAGGATTCGTCCCAGCTCTGATATGCGCAGTGTGTATAGACTTTTGAAATAGCCTATTTCATTTTTTTATTATCTAGGTTTATATTTTTGAGGTTTCTGAATTTAGATCTGTTGTTAGATTTTCAAAATTGACAGTTGGCAGCTGTCAAATAGCTGTCAATGTGCTATAATAAAGCCAAAAACTTGTTTTTTATGTTTTATCTTTCTTTTTTTTTTTAGTTTGATAAGTTCAAAGATGATATCAAATCAATAACAATGACTATCGGCAGCTGTCATTTAGCTGTCAACAATTCTTCAAAGTCTGGTAATAAAGTCAAAAAATTATTTTTTGTTTATAACTTCAAGTTTTTAAGATAAGTGAATATAAATATGACATAAAATTATGCTGTCAACTAACTGTCAAAATGAAATAATAGAGCAAGTAACTTATTTTTTGTGCCTAACTTTGTAGATAAGAAATCAAACATGATAAAAGTTTATGACATCACTTTTAAACTCAGTGATCTAAGCAACTTAAAGCTTTTTAAAAAAAGTAACTTTTTGACTTTATTATTGCATTTTGACAGTTAGCCGATTGATAGGGGACAGCTGTAAGCCAAGAATTTCCAAATAGAAAAATACATTGATGCTTTTTGTCATTGTTAAAGTTTATTCCCAATTATTTTTTAATGTTGATACTTTGGCTTTTACTCTTTTAGTAATGCTTAAATTCACTTTTCTATTGTCGCCATTTGGCACCCGATTTTACACCTGACAGTTGTCAAAATGCACTTTTGGCCACCAGCATCGTGATCAGCAATCTTCAAAACATCGGTACACGCACTAAAATCATATACTAATGTACCACTTTCAATTGTTTATAATTAAATAACAATAAACAATTACGTGGAAAAATCACTAGGACTAATTTCAGGAATCTCTTAGCGACATGAAATACCCATAGTCAACCTTCCAAAGTCCGAATTATAGCAGATACGGGGGTAACAAGCAAAAAATCTAGCCGGTACAAATATGTACCGGAGCAACATGAAATACCCATAGTCAACCTTCCAAAGTCCGAATTATAGCAGATACGGGGGTAACAAGCAAAAAATCTAGCCGGTACAAATATGTACCGGTGCCCCGGAAAAGGTTAATGAGAAAGAAAGTGTAAATCTATTTTTCAATATGAACAAGTTAATAACATAATAAACCGACCTTTACCTATATATTATTATTTGCATGTGGCAACATTCGAGGATATTCTCGGCTTACAGCTGTCACCTATCAATCAACTAACTGTCAAAACCGAGTTGTGTAAACACAATTTACGGGCATAACACATGTTTACGGATAACCAATAACCAAGTTTAATAAAAAGTATTATTCTAAGTCCCTAAAGCCGAATTATCCTAAGTCACTTTAACGAAATTATTTTAAGTCCCTAAATCGAAATTCTTCTAAGTCCCGTTTCACCCCCCCCCCCCTCTCAAAAATTAAAACTTACCATTTTCACCCCCTCCTAAGTGGAGGCCTTCGCGAAGTACCCCCTCATTATGAACATGTTCCATGTTAAAAGTTACTTTTTAAAAAAACTTTAAGTTGCTTAGATCACCGAGTTCAAAAATGATGTCATAAACTTATATCATGTTAAGCACAAAAAATAAGTTACTTGCTCTATTATTGCATTTTGATAGTTAGTTAACAGCTTGTTGACAGCTGTATGACTACATAATTTTATATCATATTTATATTCACTTATCTAAAAAACTTGAAGTTATAAACAAAAAATAATTTTTTGACTTTATTACCGGACTTTGAAGAATTGTTGACAGCTAAATGACAGCTGCCGATAGTCATTGTTATTGATTTGATATTATCTTTAAACTTATCGAACTTAAAAAAAAAAATAAAAAGAAAGATAAAACATAAAAAACAAGTTTTTGGCTTTATTATAGCACATTGACAGCTATTTGACAGCTGCCAACTGTCAATTTTGAAAATCTAACAACAGATCTAAATTCAGCAACCTCAAAAATATAAACCTAGATAATAAAAAAAAGGAAATAGGCTATTTCAAAAGTCTATACACACTGCGCATATACATAAATCCGTGGAGGATACTCGGAGCTTTAAAGCTCTGTACCGGCCAAACTATCCATTTTTGAGCTTTGTGGCCATTGAAACAATTGACCAGTATGATGAACTCTATCACATATCAAAAATTCAGCGAATTTGATCGGGACCCAATTTCCATAAGATTTGTGCGGGGTCATTTATCAATATAGCTGAGCATATTTATAGGACGTAACTGCTGAGCATTTTTAGGGTTTGAAACTTTGGGTATTGGTATAATTGTAGAAACTTTAATATCTTGTGGTACTTTACCTATCTCTAATGAGCTGTTAATAATAATAATTATTAGAGGATTAGCAATACTGTTAAATGTATTTTTTACCAAGTTCAAGCTAATGTCATCTGCACTACTTTTATTTGGCAATGAATAAATAATTCTTTTGAGAGAATCATAATCAATTAACCGAAAGTCAGAAAAACATGGAATTAACTTATTTCTAATATTTATGGGAAATTTTGGGCCACTCTGATCAATATTATCAATTATTGTACCGATACTACTAATAAAAAATGTGTTCAATTGATTTGGCATATCCTTAATTTTATCAACCAATTTTTGATTATTATCTCAATTTCTAAAAAATCTTTATGCAAAGAATTATTTGGCAACAAAGTTTTTAAAACTTTCCTCAATTCAACAGCATTGCCCTTGTTACGATCAATTTTATTTTCATAATATTTTCTTTTTTCAGTTCTTAAGACTCTTACAGCAATGTTTCTTTTTTGTATATAGGCTCTTCAGTTTTTCTTACTTCTATTAGTTAGTTAAACCAATTATCTCTGTCCAACAAAGCATTTTTTATGATATCATTTCACCACTCTTTATAAATTGGAAATATCTTAACCATTTTTTTAGGAGCAATTTCATTTAGTATTTGTATAAGATTATTAGTAAAATGCCGATATTTTACATTAATGTCAGTTTCCCAGTAGTTCCAGTTAATCATTTGAAGCTTATTACAGATAACCTCGTAATTAATATAACGCCCCCTACTCTGGATAGTTACAGGTTCTAATTTACTTTTTATTTTTACAGTTATAATGTAGTGGGAGCTAATTTTAGGTGTTTTTAAAACTTGTGTACTAAATCTATCACAATTTGTAATTACTAGACTATCTAACAATACAATAAGAAAAAGATCGTTTGAAGGACAGTATAGTGACGAGGTACGATAAGAGTATTTCTATGTCTTAAGTTAAGAGAATGTATATCAGTTCTGTATTTTATTTTATAATATAAAATATGATGGAGATTTTTCCTGTAGTAGCTTAACATAAAACATTGTAGAATGCATGTTACGACGATTTTTCATGTAGTAATTTTGAATGTGTGACTGATATGCTCAAATTTGCGAATACCAAAAATACATCTTAGACATGAATTTTGCAATTTTTTTATTCTATTGATATCAAATAAATTTAAACAAGAATTATGTAAAATGCCACAAAAATTTAATTTAGATATACTTCCCTAATGTAATTTTGAAAGCCTTTTGTGCGTTTTAGAGCCTTATCTTAGGTCAATACCGAATTATAACCATAAACAATCGTTGTAACAAGACTCTCCCATACTCTTTTGTAATAATTTGATTACTAAGTGGATAACACTGTGAATATCTGCAATTCGATTTTTGTAAACAAAATTAGTCTAGTACTTAGTTGTTCATCCTTGTTTCATATCATAGCTAGCAACACTGCTGGTATACAAAATTGGCTGATTTTGGTGAATACTATCGAATATTTAATTACTTTTAACAATGTTTTATTTTTGACTATTAGTCCATTTAAAATAACGGTAAAAGGTAGAGAAACGCCGCACTTGACGAGACTACTTGTCCCCTACGTATTTTGTGGCGCTGATTACGAAAATGAGGGTTAAAATAGGGGTGTTTTTCGACTGTACTTGTTTTTTTGCAAACTAAGCCATCTTATATGTTTTATGGGGCGCTGATTACGAAAGTCGGGGTTAAAACTTGCAGCAATGGTTGAACCACCCCTAAAATTGCAAAAAACACCCCTATGTAGGGGTGTTTCAACCATTGCTGCAAGTTTTCACCCCGATTTTCGTAATCAGCGCCCTAAAAAACATATAAGATGGCTTAGTTTGTAAAACAACAAGTACACCCCTCTTTAGGGGTGTTTTTTGCAATTTTAGGGGTGTTCCAACCATTGCTGCCAGTTTTAACCCTCATTTTCGTAATCAGCGCCCCAAAATACGTAGGAGATAAGTTGTCTCGTCAAGTGCGGCGTTTTTCGACCTTCTACCATTATTTTAAATGGACTATATCTCTCTATACCAAATATCAGCGACTATTTCTCTAGAGCAGGCCTGCACAACTCAAGGGCCAGATTTGAAGAACCGTAACTGTACGAGGGCCGCCAAGAGACAATAGTCGGTTCAGATTTCTAAAAAAAAGGTCGTCAGCCTAAATGCAAGTTTGTTACTGAACAATCACGTAGGCGGGCGAAACTGGTCAACGGCTGGCGGGCCGCCAAAACGACACTGGCGGGCCGCATCCGGCCCGCGGGTCGTATGTTGTGCACCCCTGCTCTATAGAAATAGTCAATATTTGATCTAGTGAAATAGTCGTCCCAAATATAACACGACCTTGATTAATATTCTGCTATTTGTGTTGTTGCTGATTTTCTCAAACTAATCAATTATTAATGCCAAAAATTATGTCTCATCAAATTGATATTAAAATATTGTCAAAAATATCTATTATCAAGGTCTTGGTATATTACCCTTAATTATATTTAAATATTTATTATTTTACTGAAATACATTATGTCATAATAATATATAATAATAACAACCATATTATGTTATAGGAAAAATGATCCTAAATTTTTTTGTGAATATTGTGACTTCAAGACTCTTAGAAAAAGCAATTTTGTAAGACACTACAAACATATACACCAAGGTGTGAAACGTACAAAAAACCTATTTTGTAAATATTGTGACTTCAAGACTTGTTATAAAGGGTCTTTCGATCGACACACCAGTATTCATGAAAACAAATTTCGATATATGTGCTCACTATGTGATTATAAAAGCTATGCAAAACGAAATTTGCAAAGACATTTTAAGACTAAACACACACAAAGAGATACAACATTTATTTGTAATATTTGTGGACATGGATTTACTAGTGAAAGAAATTATAGAAACCATTCTAATAGGCACAGGAATGAAAGGAAATTTAATTGTGATCTGTGTTCTTACAAGGCCCGTTGTAAATCTAACCTAGATAGTCATAAGGTAAGTTTTTCAAAATACCTACCTCATTTAGAAATGTTTTTTAGTTTAAAGTTAATTTTAATTTACCTCTCTCAAAGTATTCATTTAATACGTAGTTATTAATTAAGGCTATTCTATAAAAATAAATTCTTTTTTTATATCTTATATTGACATGCCTTAGTATGTAAGTATTAATAATTCATAACATATTTTTTTAATATATTATTGATTCCAAGAAAAATGTAGGTAGATATTGTTTTTAAAAGGTTATTAACTAGGGTATACACTAATCACTAGAAAGGCATCATTACTAGAAACCTAAATGAGTTGTTTTTGCATACTTACTTGACTCATAGCAGCGAAAATTTAATAACTTTTTAACTTTAGGTATATGTTCCCAGTTTGGCAATGTATATGTCGTAGTATTATAGTGAAATTCGTCTTTTCATGTAGATCCTAATCACATCATGAAGAGTCCGCATATCGTGTAAAATTATGAAGCTACACAATCTGCCGAGGCTTTTCGACGTGTAATGTCATTACATAATCTGACTAAATATAAATATCGGCACTTTAAGAAGTTATCTGGTTTTATTGAATTAGTTAATATAGAGGAACATTATGAAAAGGAGTTGTTTAATGATAGTAAATATTCATGTTCGAATAACAGACCATACAACATGCAGGAGCGCGTTCAGGAAATACGCTCCGACCAAAAAGAGTGTGATCAATTTGGTCTTGGTTCATTCAAGAACAGTAGAGCGTTCAATATGGACATTTAGCTACTCTCGTTTAGAAAGTCTAGTCAAATTAGTCTAGAGTGCACTCTTTTTTACCCATATTAGATGCCTATTTAGTAACTCTGAAGGATGTCGTTAACAGACGATAATCGTTCACAGACGAGAGTAACAACGGGAATCGAGGAACATCTAACATTATAAAATGCCTGTAAACAAATAACTAAACTTTAATTTTCAAATTCGTTCACGTTTACTTTCGTTGTTCAGACATTTTGGGCTAATGAGAATTATTCTAGAGTAACCTGGGCAAACGACCTAAGAAAATTAGTCTACTCCCTTGTAAAATCATCTAGGAGCCTATTCTCTAACTATGGGAAAATGAGTGTGAGAGCACTCTCTCATGATTTAGCCTTGCTGCGTATGTCACTCGACTAAAATTATAAGAAACCATGTCAACAGCGATAACAGTGTTGCAAGACGTACCATAATTATTATCGTATTTGTATAATATAATGAAAAATTTCCCAATTTTTCGGAATTTTTAATGGCCAACTTACGAGCATACACACGTTTAGTGCGTTTAATATTTTTGTAATATATTATGATATGCGTATAATTAAAAATATTTTTAATTACGGGGTGATTCACAAATGTGACGGTAGTTTTTTTTGTAAAATCTCATTAATTCTAGTATGACGTAAGGGAAGAATTTTTTTTAAAAAGTGCTACTCGATATGGTATTTTGTCGACCACATATTGCACAATACACATTTCTTATACAGGGAGTTTTATAGTGAGAACCACAAAATAATTTTTTTTTAGGGATTACTTCAAAACCCTGCACTATAAATTGATTATTGGGGAAAGACTTAGCACTAAAATATGCGTACTTCTAAGCTTCAATATATACAAGACGGCTCAATTGTTGGAAGATATTCTATTTTAATAAAAGTACAAAAAACCACAAATAAATTAAACTTTAGTGGTTCACAATGATATAATATAGATATCAGTACACAGATGTAGGTAAAAAACTCAGTGTTTTAGAAAGGTATAGGTATAGAAAGGTATGTAATACCGAAGACTCTGAAAGTTTTTACCTACATCTCTACTAATACATATCTACATTCTGTCATTGTGGATAAAAGACAATAACACTTAACCTTTTCTTTTTTTCAAAAATAATTTTTTCTTGTAATCCTTCCTGATTTTGATCTTCCAATTGTTTTTGTCTATACATTTTTAAATATGTCGTGAATTTCATTTCATCTGTAGGTGTGAAAATGACACATCCATTACCCAAAGAATTCCTGCAATTTCCTTATGTAAAGTGACGACCGGTTAAATTTTCTAAAACTTTAGTATGTTATTGTGCCTAGCAACCAAAAGTGTCAATAGGCTCAACTCAATCCTATGACTGGTTTTCGATATACAGGGTGTTAAAGTTGAAAATTGCTTAGATTTTCAAAAATTTTATTTTCAAAATTACAAGCTAGATTGAATTTCTGTTGCATACACACGTTTACTATATGTTTTATTGTTACATTAGTACCTATGTACAATTAAAAATATATTCAGTAACAGGGTGATTCACAATGTATGAATAATTTTACTATGTCGTCAGCATATTTTTAAAAAATAAAAGATTATACAATACACATTTCTTATAGAGAGAACCACAACATAAAATTATTTTTTTCAAGGATTAATTCATGACCCTGTAGATACATAATAATTGATTTTTGGAAAAGGTAATACCACTTAAATATGTGTACCTCTAAGTTTCAAAATATATGAGGTGATTTATTTGTTCGAAGATATTCCATTTTAAGAAAAGTAAAAAAAACCACTAAAATTTCCCCGGTAAAATGTAATATTTTTTTAGTATATAATGCTTTTATAAAACCTTTATATGAGTTAAATTCGAGATACAGGGCTTTAAAGTGGAGAATTGCTGATTTTAGTTATTTTTTTTCAAACTGAAAAGCTAAATTGACTTTATGAAGCATATATAAGAGTTTTGGTCAGATGTCCATGAAAGGAGACAGTTCAAAATATTTACTGTTCCCGAATAAATCACACTATATTTTTGCAACTTTATTGTCCAGTGTATAAAAACTTGTCACAAATATCGGAAAATGATGTATATACTGATATATTTTGTAGGTAATTATAAAACAGATTACCCTGTATATTTTAAAATCTAATGTAACGTTATTAACTTACTCAAAAGTCACTAAAGAAATGTAAGGTATCTTTTTAATAATTTCAAAACATTATTTTTTGTGGATGGCTGGATGGCTCACCCTGTATAAAAAGTACACATAGCTAAATCTTTGGACCTCAAAATTGTTGACGGGTAGATATTAATTCAATGAAATAATTTCTCTGTGGCGCAACTGTAGAGATATTGAGTGTTTGCAAAAAATATATTGTGATTTATTTGTGAATCACCCTGTAAAAAATGTTTTAAACGGAAAGGACATCTCACAAAAACTTATATTAAACTTATAAATTCTACATAAAAACAATCTCGCTTTTCAGTTGGAAGAAAAAATAACTAAAATCAGCAATTCTCCACTTTAACGCCCTGTATCTCGAAAACTGGTCATAGTATCGGATTTAAAATTATATCTCTTAAAACGGTGTTAAATTTATCATGTGCGTAGAAAATAGTTACATTTGTCTTGGGAAATTTTATACCACAAGGTGTTCGTGGTGTTTCTGTACTTTTATTAAAATAAAATATCTTCCAACAAATAAGCTGCCTTGTATATTTTGAAGCTTACACACATATTTTATTGGTATTACAGGTGTGTTCTTTTATTCAACAATCGTTCCATCAGTGATTGATGTCATGACGTCTCTGATTAATTTCTAGTGGAAGGTATTTGCACTGAAAATAAGAACAAACGACATTTCTCAAATGAAAAAATTGACGTTTGACATCGCTTAAAAAATTAAACCCGTTTTAATTTAAATTAACCGTAATTTATCTCTTCTGCAGTCGTTTCATATTTAAACTCTTATATTGTAGGTTAACTTTTATTGAAATAATTGTGTTCACACGTTCAAACAAATTGATTAACTATCCCTCCATTTATCCATCACATATCCATCGGCTTTTAAAGCCGATGGATGCGTTGGCTCATTGGCTGGAAAAAAGAACGATTGACACATATAATCGTCCTTCCATCCCTTAATTTACGAACGGTTTGTTGCAAGCGCTGGATACAGCGCTGAATAAAAGAACACGCCTTATACCTTTCCCAAAATTCAATTAAAAAGTAGGTACGGGGTTTTGAATTAGTCCTTAAAAAATAATTATATGTGGTTCCCACTACAAAACACCCTGTATAAGAAATGTGTACTGTGCAATATACCATAATGAGTATTACTTTTTGAAAATATGCTTCCCTGACGTCACAGTAGAAATAACGAGATTGTGCAAAAAAACTACCGTCACATCTTTCTGAATCACCCTGTAATTAAAAATATTTTCAATTATACGTATTTAATAATATATTACTAAAACATGTATTAAACGTGTGTATGTGTATGTAATAGAAATACAGTCTAGGTGTAAGTTGGAAAATATAAATTCCGAAAAACTGGGCAATTTTCAACTTTAACGTATATCGTACAAATACGATAATTATCCTAGTCTGGCAACACTGCTCTCATCATTCATATGATTCCGGTCAAATAGTGAGAGAGTGAGTGCTCTCCTACTGTCCTACTCACATAGTTACAAGAATAAGGGCCTCTGGCAAAAATGGCAGAGTTGCATTTATTTTCACCATCCACTTTCTCTTTCCTTTGCTTTCACATTTCAAGGATATCAATTTTTTGGGAAAGTGAATATATTTCCCGTGAGTTTCAGTTTCAATACGCACCCTGCCTTGTTTTTTATACAATTTTTTTTTCAAATTATATTAAATTGGAATAACTAATACAAGAAGACCCGCTTAATTGTAAATTGTGGAAATTTACCTCTAAATTACACGAATTACATTTAGGGATGTAAGAACACTGAGAAGTATCGATACTTTGTAATACTTGTAAGTATTTTGTAGGAATGTAGGAATTTAATAAATTTATTAACGATGTGGCTTCAGAATTTAAATATTGTAAGTTCCTACTATTCGCCGATGACCTGAAATTATTCATGGACATTTTAAACTTACCCGACTGTTAGGGGATGATTTAAATTATTTTATTAATTGGGCTTTAAATAATGCCATGTCTTTAAATCCACGTAAATGTTTTTCAATCACCTTC